AGCTAGTTATTTATCTGCGTATCTCTCTATCTAATTATGTGCACATAATATATAAATATATAATATATATATATATATTATATATATATATATATATATATATATATTACACACACAAATTAAATGCATACATATATATATATATGTGTTGTGGTGTGTAGGGGGGGGGGGGTATGTGTGTGTAGGCAGGAATGTGTGTGTTTATATATTCATGTATCCATGTTTGCATCAAACTTTGTATATGTGCTTGTATCTCTCCATCTGCTTCTCTGTCACTGTCTTCTATCTATCTGTATCTGTATCTGTATTCTGTATCTCTGCCTCCTGGCTATCTGCCTGGCTGAGCGAGCGCGCCCGACCCTACACCATGGTCTCCGATCCGCTGAAATAGCTAAGGTGATGGAAGCTCCTCCTGGCGGACGCCGCGGGGTGGCACGGCGCGGGCCCTAGTTCTCCCGAGGACGTGCACCTACGGAGAGACCTCGCCGAAGCACCACCAGGAGCAGCGTTTCGAAGCGTCACGACGGCGCCCACCTCGCTGCTGCTCGAGAACTCTGACCTTTGGACTTCCTGCTGGAGGTGGGTTCCTGCCTGACCCGAGTGGGTGGAATACTGCCCTCGGAGGTCAGGCTGAGGGATGGAAACCTGGTCTGGCTCTTGTGTGGCAAGGGAAGCCGAGGAATTTGGACGCTGGTTTCCGTTGCTTGATGAGCGGGTCGAGTTCATGAATCCTGGGAATGTGGATAGTCCAGCGCTCATCGAGTAGGCCGGAACTTGCGATGTGTAGTTGGAAAAGGCAGCCGGTCCTGAGGCAATGCAGGAATCGGACGCCACAGAGGAAGGCTCTCGAATTGCCAGCGGAGACGGAGAAGAAGCTCTGAAAAAGGGGGCGTCACTCGGGGTCTCCGTCTTGTGTACAGGACTCGAGGAGGGATCATAATCGCCGTCTGTTGTTTCAGCTTCCTCTGTGGGATTTTCTTGGGGCCTCTTGCAGCTCTGGCGTTTGGTTGAGTTGTCCAGGGCTTCTGGCGTTATAAACTTGACGGAGTTTCGGTTGTCCTCGGGAGAAGCAGAACCAGGTTCAGAATCGGTAAAAACCTCAACGCTGCTTCCTCTGGGCGACTCTACCTTGATGATGGGAACAGTTCTCGCGCTGGGCCTGAGAGGTAAGTCCCGCGAGCCTTGCGCCGAGTTTCCACCAGAAGGAGAATCAGCCTCCGTCGTCTTGGCGAACTTTCCTTTGTTAACGGCGTTGTCGAGATTTATGAAGCTCTGCCGGGGGCTCACCCTCGAGCTCGCCGAAACGCAGCTGTCGGGAAACACCGAGTTCTGTTGCATCGGCGACGGATTACGCAAGCCCCTGCGCAGAATCACTGAGTCCGTCGTGTTTCTTCGGCTGTTCCTGAAGCTCCCGTCACCGAGACCTAAGACCGAGTGGCGGTAGTTCTCGACCTCGGCGTCGTCGTTGGAGGAGCAGATTTTCCACATGCTGACGGCACACTTGGCTATCAGAATGACGTGAAGTAAACACGTCGACAGTATGAGAAGTATGGCAACCGCCGCAGCAGACTTGGAAACGCAGAACTCGCAAGGACATTCGCTGCTTTTGGCCGCATTCCCTTCTGCCGGGGCTGCTTTAGGCCCTTCTGCTTCCAGCGTCGAGGACATGTTCTCAAACTCATTCTGCAGCGTGGATGCGTATCCTTGATTGTCTTCCGTTGTGGATGCCGGCAGTTCCACCGATGAGTGGAAAAGGAGAAGTAAAATTAAAGCAACAAGTCGTGTGTATGGCATCACTGCGTTTTATTCCTTCCTTTCTTTCTTTCTTCCCCTTCTTTTCTTTTCTTAAGGTCACTATTTTCTTATCTTTTAGAGTCTACTTTGATATATAATCAGAAGCCTGTTCTATACATGAACCACATTGCTTCAATTCACGTCACTTTTAAAATTGTACTTAAATTCAGTTTATTTTCTTTCTTGTTGCTTGACAGTAGTTTCTTCCCCAAAACAAACTGAAATAATAAAAACAACAAATATTATTATAATGAAACAGAGGGAAGGAGTAGCAATATGGACAAGGAAAGGAATCATTATAAAGAAGTTAGATATTAAGCAAGACCTCATAGTGGAACAGAAGCCAATTGAGGTAAAAAGAAAAAAACGGGGTAAAGATAATCATATTTATATGGACGAAGATATGGTAACGTACATTACAGCCCAAGGTCTATAAGTACTTATAATAGACCTTGTTACAGCCAGCGTAAGCTTAGAAGGGGGATGGGGAATGTTTTAATTTTGCCGACGAAAGAGCGTGGTTACTGGGCGTGA